CTGAGCCACTGTATGCGTGACCCTGTGTTGAAAGGGGCTGGGGACACAGTGATGACCAGGGCAGCTCAGTTCTGTCCTGCCCTCCTGGAGCTCCAAGTCCAGTGAGGGGACAGACCCATCCCCAAATATTGATGATCCAGAGTGGAGGGATGAAGGGTTGCTGAGAGAGTCCCAGAGGACTTCCTGGAGGAGGCAGTGAAGTAGAGCAGTCAGGCAGAGAGAAGCAGGGATATACTGGGTGGATGTCAGTGAGACCATGCAGGGGTCAGGCTATGCAGGGCCTATGGGCTGCCATGAGGATCTTGAGTGCTCCCCTGAGGGCACTAGGGAGCCATAGCATATTCAGAGCAAAGGAGGGACAGAGGCAGGTTTGTGCTTTAGACAGACCCTCTTGGCCAATATGTGGAGAGATAATAGTAAAAAAAAAAAAACAAAAAAAAAAACCAAGGGGAGCCAGGACCTTGGCCGGGACAGGAGTCTGGGGGGACAGTGAATAAAAGGTAAGTGTGGATTTAAAGAGGCAGGGGCCATAGGATGTGTCTGGGGGGCAGGGGGGGCAGGCAGGGAGACCATCAGGATGAGGCCCAGGTTGCTGTGTTCTGGTGATGGGGTAGTGCCTTCCCCCACCCAAGCACCAGGAGGAAGACAGGTCTAGAGGAAGATGCGGAGGTCAGTTTGGGACAAGCAAGTAAAGTGCTCAGGGACATTCAGGGAGCCATCCTGGATGACACCCAGACACGGTCACAGGGCTCAGGGGAGAGGGCTAGGCCAGTACAGACCAGGGTGAGGTGAGGTCGAGGGTGGGGGGGAACGAGAGGCGCCAAGTCACCTGGCCTCCCCTGCCTCCTCCTACCTCATTCTTTCCACCTCTCCTGCCTCACGTTCAGAGCCTCTCCCTTCAAGGGCAACCCAGGACACGGAGCTGGAGAAAAGCAGGACAGGTAAACCACAGATATGGCACCTTGCCCAGAGGCCCAGGACCAGAGTCCTCAAGACATCACTAATCCTAACACATCAGTTATGTGCACTTTCTAGCCCTCCAGCTCCCCAAGATCTCTGTTCCTTGTTTTCTTCTCAACAACCATGTAAAATCTCAACCCCCTCTTTCTGATTTTATTTTTCCCAACAGCGCTGATCTCTATCTGACATGGAAAATAGTCTATGTTTACCCGACAAACATCAGCCCCACGGGCAGGAATTTTGTCTCTCTTATACACAGTTGTATCTCCAGCATGGTTCCCTACCTCCATGATCCAGGGCGCTCTGTGAAAACTGCTGGGCCTCAGTTTCCTTATCTGTAAAATAGGGATGATTATATCCTGAATGTTGTTATATGTTCATCCACTTTATTGAGTTGTTGTAATGATTGTTGTTGTTGTTGTTAAGTGCTATCGAGTCAGTTCTGATTCATAGTGACCCTGTAAAGGGTGGATTTGAACTGACCACCTTGCAGTTCACTGCCCAGCCCTTGTCCTATAGCATCACACTAGTAGGAGAAAATGTGGAACAAAGGTCAAAAGAAAAAGACCAGGATTACTGGTCAGAAAGAGATGAGAGGAACCAGAGACCTTCAGCCACCCTTAGGTCTAGCCACCTTCATGGCTTAGATTTCAGTGAGGTCTGTTGTTGTTATGTGCCGTGGAGTCAGTACCGGGTTTCCGAGGCTGTAAATCTTTACAGGAGCAGAAAGCCTCATCTTTCTCCTGCAGAACAGCTGCTAGTTTCGAACTGCTGACCGTAAGGTTTGCAGCCCGATTCGTAACCACTATGCTATGGCTGCTCACCATGAAATGGTCAATCATTCAAGATCAAAAGGGCAACATTTACCTAAGGACATAGTTGAGAAGGGATGGGGAGGAGGATGGAATGGGAATAAGAACCACACGGAGGAAGTGGGATCACTGTTGTTACATGGTGGGGATTGCAATCATTGAGATGAAACCATTGAGATGGTTGGTTAAAGGTAAAACTGAGGATCTTGTCTGTAAACCTTCACTCAATTCACAATAAAAAGTTTCAAAAAAAGGAACTTCAAAGCCTCCACATATACCTGGTTAGCAGACCGGGGGAAACCAAGGAAGGGAAAAACTGTAGATTTCTCAGCACTTTTGGGTGGGAACAACCAAGAAGCAGAGACCCAACAAAGCAAACAGCATCCTAGCTCCCTCAAAGGGCTGCCTGGATTCGGAAATGGTGTTTGCTAGTGCAGTTGAGTTGGTTCCAACTCCTAGAGACCCTGAGCACAACAGAATGGAACACTGCCCAGGCCTGCAACATCCTCACAATCATTAAAGATATTTAAGCCCATTGTGACAGCCGCTGTGTCGGTCCATCTCATTTGGGGAAATAGAGCAGGGTCTAAATTCTCTTTCTCTGCATTTGAGCAAATCATAGTCCTTCCCTGGTGCCTCAGTTCCCCGTGTGCAAAGGGGGAAACAGTACCGGCCTCATAAGATTGTCTTGGCATCTACTGAAATGATAACTGTTGGTCACCTGCAGAGTTGAGATTTGGGGACAGGACAGTTTCTATTTACCATTGTCACTCCTTGGTGACCCCCAAGCTCACCAGTGACGCCAGGGCCTGGGCCATTGGTCAGGACTGGCCTAAAATCTTCCCTGCCCCACCTTCTTCTGCCCCCATCGACCTGGTTCTTCTCCCGGTACCAAATCTGGGCCCTAGGCACAAAGTGGGTTAGGCAGCTGCCCCAGGAGGCCTGGCCAGGTCATGCCCCCTGGCCCGTGCCTGCCACACCCGACCTGGTGCCTAAACGGGGCCCCAGATCTTTGGTGACTCGATCCCTCCAAATTCAGGTGATCTCCCCAGCTCCAAAATCACCGAACTCGCCCAGATCTCAAGCAGACGGAGCCTAGCCCCAACCAAAAGAGGGGTCTCAGAACACCAAGACACCGACACGTCTCCAGACCCGGGTTTGAGGCGAAAGATGGCAACAACAACCGGGTACAGCTGGTTTTTCATCAGTGGTGAGAGAGAAGGTGCCCCCCAGCACCTCGGTTTCGTCTGGTCTCAGGGTGGGGAGGGGACCCTCTAGCCAGGCACAGGGAATGTTTGAACCTGAGGTAGGCACAGGGTGCCCCTCCGAGAGACACCAGCGTGGGGCAAGCCAGGCACGGCCACTCTGAGAGATGTTTTCAGGGCTTCGGAAGTTTCTGAGACAATGTGTGTTCCAGAGACACAGGGCCATAATGAGACCTTTATGCTTTGGGAAATCCTCCCTGAGCCCCAGTTGTAGAAATCTTGATTTGGGTGAGTCCTAAGCAGTAGTTCTGCCCATCCCAGCAGATGAAGTTTGGGGTCAATGCCTTCCCCTTCTTGTCTTCAGTTTCCCGGTCTATGTATGAAATGGGCCTTAATCACTAGATCCTTGTGAAGCCCCTGTAAGCAACACGAATTAGCACTTACTGGGTGCCTAAAGCTCTTCTGAGTGCATCTCTATGTTAACAGTCACCTTTATTATGAGGGAGGTCCCCTTCACAGATGAGAAAATCGAGGTTTAGTCAAAGAGCTAAAAATCACTGACTGGTGGTGTGGTGTGGGGTGGGGGTGGGGGGCTGTCACATCACCAGGAAGTGGTAGAGTTGAGTGACAGACCCATAGCCCACACTCCTGGTCACAGTCCACCAGCTTGGAAAGTACCACAAACCAAGCCCTGCATATAAGAATTTCCTCCATGAAAACAGCCATGGTCACCCATTCCAAAGAACCACACACAATCCAAACCAATCCGCCCTGACCAGCTCACCGGGAGCTGGACTCCTCCATGGGGTTGAGAAGAAAAGGGCTGGGTTGTATTCATCACAGGGCTACTTTGTGTTCTGGAAAGGCAGAGGAGGAGCAGTGGACTGAGAGTTAGGACCCAGGAATTGGCAATGACATCTTCCAAGGATGTAAAATTAGCTGTATGGGTGAACCAGCTCTGATCTCATAGGATTGTGTGACTCTCACATGGGTCTTAGGTAAAAGCAATATTTCTGTCAACTGAGCACTTGCCATGTGTTTGAGGCTAGATCCTTGGCGTAGAACATCACATTCACAGCTAAGTCCTTCCTGGAGAATGAGACCCTATACCTGAATATCATTTATTAGGCACTTCCTGTATGCCAGGGAGCCCTGCTGGAGCTATAGGATAAGCAGTGGATTGCTAACCACAAGTCCAGGGCTTATCCTATTCAAACTTGTTCAACTCACTAGCTGCTCCTTAGGAGAAAGATGAGGCTTTCTGTTCCTTTAAACAGTTACACTCTCAGAAACCCTAAACAGGGTTTGACATAATACCGTCTGTGGGTTTGATTTTGGTTTTTCTGTATGACCCCATGAGACAGGTGGGTCTTCTCTCTATTTCACAGCTGAGAAAGTAGAAACTTCACTTGAGATACGCAGCCGTCGACCCAAAGCCACACAGAGGCACTTCAAGCCAGATAAAGTGATTTGATTCATGGACAGAGAATTTGTGAGGGCGGAAGTTTTAAGAAGTTGTAGTGTTGCCCTGCATTTCACTGAAGATGGCAGGTTTCAAGTTATATACATGAGGGAGCTGCAAAACGTTGCTGGAAAAATTGTATTATCATTTTGTTTCACTTTTTCCACCGTTTTAAAGCCCCATCCCCCACCTCACGTATTTGACCAGTATGCTGGTTGCTCAATGATTAAACTATTAGCTGCTAACCAAAAGGTACAGTTGGAACCCACCTCCTAGGGAGAAAGATGAAGCGGTCGATTTCTGTAAAGACTCAAAGCTTTGTAAACCCTAAGGGGTATAGTTCTGCTGTGTCCTATCAGGTCGCAGTGTGTCAGGATCAACTCAGTGGCACACAACAACAATAATATCTTTTACCACAATCAACAAACGTTTAAAAGAAAGAAGTGAGTACAATGTTGGGAGTCCGAGGACCTTGGGTTCGAATCCCAGCTTGTGCTCACAATGTGAGGACTGCGGGCTAGGCATCCTCCCCACCTGATCCCTCCGGTTTCTCTCTCCCAGCGGTGGTCCTGAGTGTGGGGGCGGAGATCTTCATCACCCCGGAGCCTGCTCAGCCGGCCGAGGGGGACAACCTAACGCTGGTCGTCAGCGGTCTCTCTGGGGAGGTGCTCGCTTACAACTGGTACGCGGGTCCTTCGCTCAGCCTGGCCTACCTGCTGGCCAGCTACATCATCAGCACAGGCGAGGAGACCCCGGGCCCGGCCCACACTGGGCGGGAGGCCGTGCGCCCTGACGGTAGCCTGGATATTCAGGGGGCCCTTCCAGGGCACTCGAGCACCTACATTCTTCAGACCTTCAACAGGCAGTTTCAGACGGAGGTGGGCTACGGACACGTGAAGGTCTATGGTGAGACACCCCACACACGTTATTCTCCTCTGTGATAAGGTCTGTCCGTGTCCCTTCCAGCTTTTCCTTTAAAAAAAAAAATTTTTTTTTTTTTTAAATAACATGAAAATGTTCACCTCCTCCAGGATGGCTTCCAGGATTAGATCTGACACCTATCCCTTCTCTGCTGGGGGTCCAGGGGCGTGGTCAGGATCTGGCCACGCCCCTTGCTGGGAGCTGTGGGGGGACCTCAGAGCAGGCGATGCCCGGCCCTCTCCCCCTGCTTCTCTCGCTTCCACAGAGATACTGACCCAGCCGGTGGTAATGGCCAACAACAGCATGGCGCTGGTAGAACATCGGGACACACTACGTCTGCTGTGCAGCAGCCCCAGCCCAGCCGAGGCCCGCTGGTTCTTCAACGGACAGGTTATCCGCCTCGGCCTGTCTCCCGACGGACGGACGCTGACCCGGCAAGGCATCCGCAGGGAGGAGGCAGGGACCTACCAGTGTGAGGTCTGGAACCCGGTCAGTGTCAGCCGCAGCGAGCCCGTCAACCTGACCATATACTGTAAGTCCTCCTGACCCCACCAGAGATACCCCGGGCCCCCCAGTCCTCAGAGATGAGGAAACTGAGGCCAGGAGAGGGGCCCCAAGGGTACACAGAAGTCACTGTGAATGTAATTCACAGCACTTAAAAATGATTACAATGGCAAGAGGGGTCCCTCTTGATAAGTAATGACCACTCATGACCATTACTCTACCACTTTGAAGTCAAATAATCCAGTGCTTACAGGGAGGGGACCTAGGGTGGCTGGGTCTTGAATTAGGGGCCAGAAGAGATGGAGTGGTGGTGGTGAGGATAAAATTTTAAATATAACCAAACTGTGGAGTCATCCCCAGGGACTGCAGACACACAGTGTGGAGTCGTGGGGAAATAAATCATTGAGGTACTCCAGGGCCGATGAGAGAACAGCTTAGAACTTAGAATCCTCTAACTGCCACCTTCTGAATTTCAGACGCATCAGATACTAGCCTCTAAGAATCCTAGAAACCGTCGATTCAGTGGATCCTTTGCCTTACCTAATTCTAAAATCTCCATACCATCCAATTCTAGAATCTTAGAAACACTGCTTTCTAGAACTGGCTAGAACCTAGAACCTAGACGCATTAACTCTTGCAGACTAGAATTAAGGCTTCTTAGTATGACTTATCAGATTTAAAAAACAACAACAAATCATTTAGACTTTTAGTTTGTTTGCTTGCTTGTTTAAGGAGCCATAGATTCCTAAATGCCTTGAAATTTTCTCCGGCCCTGGCCTCTTCTTTTTACAGAAAAAGAAAACTGAGGTTCCCCTCCCTGCCCCCCTAGAAGGGAGTGATTCTCAAGATCCTAGAGTGAGTTAGAGACCCATGTGGGATTCAAAAAGGCCTGAGGTCTAGCTCTCTCCTCCACTAGACCATTGATTCAATGGAGAGAAAGGCAGGGGGTGTCTCTATTTCCCCTCCCTCTACTGCTTCCTGTCTTTCCCTCCGGCCCCTATAGATGGCCCAGAACGAGTGGCGATTTTCCAGGATTCCATCGCCCGTACAGGCTGCACCATCAAAGTGGACTTCAACACCTCCCTCACCTTGTGGTGTACGTCCCGGTCCTGCCCAGCGCCTGAGTATGTGTGGGCCTTCAATGGGCGGGCCCTAAAGAATAGCCAGGACCATTTCAACATCACTAGCATGACAGCAAGCCAGGAGGGTACATACACATGTATTGTGAAGAACTCCAAGACCCTGATCTCTGGATCTGCCTCGGTGGTGGTCAAACTCTCTGGTAAGTTGCCCGAAGCCTGATCCCACCTCCTGCCCTGGAACCCCACTGGGACTGAAGGTTTGGTGACTATTTTTCCCATGGTTATTGTCCAATGGGGGTGGGGGGGTTCTCAGTTCATTCATTGGCCTCTACATCCAGGTGATGAAAGGAGACAGCTTATCTATTGTCACTTGCAAGCCAAATGGCAAATCAAACTGTCTTCCTTGAGGTGGCACAAAGTGGCAAAGGGATCAACTTTTCCTACACTGTAGGTGGCAAAGTGGGAAACTACCCGGATGCCCTCTCATGTAAGGGTCCCTGTTTGTATATTCTGTCACGGACTGTTTCCAATCACCCTGCCACAAAGACACCTGAACTGCACAACCAAGTAGATCACCCAGTTACCTGGCCCACGTGACACAGACACATACACACTTGGAGTCACAGCTGGGCTCCCTATTGGTGATGGTGAGGATTGGTCCCGCCTCTGTCCTGAAGGGACCTGGGACCTGGAAGTTGTGGAGATGCAACAGGTGTTCTCAGAGCCATTGGGATCCTCAGGGGACATATTTTCATCTCCTGGGGACTGTGGCTTTGAATATTAGGGCCTCATTAATTCCACCTGGCTCCTTCCCAAGTAGGCATGGGCCTCCCCTCCTTCCCTCCCTCCCTCCCTCCCTCCCTCCCGCTCACAGGCTGGGTCTCATCCAAAGGGTGGCTACTCTTTCACCCAAAGCAGACATGGCATCCCCAAAGGTAAGTGAACCCCTCACTCTGCCCCACTTGGGGCTTTGGCAACTGGTCTTGGCAGGAGACAGGGGTTGGACCAGATGACCATAGGCACTGCCCCTTGCCCCACCATGGCGGGGGGTACCAAGGTATGCAGGGATGTGCAGGGGTGGGTGCAATGCCCCAAGGGCCTGCTTTGGTGCATGTTGGGGAAGAGACAGAGAAAAAGGAGATAGCAGCCTCTCGCTCTCTGGAGGAGATGCTGATATGATGGAGGAGACATGCAGAGACAGTTCTGAAACAGGGAAGGCATTCTTGTATTCAAGGAGCTGCCAAGGAGAAGAGGCAATGACTCATCCTCCATGGCTTCCAAGCAGTGATAAAGGAGGCAGGAGACCCTCCCTCAGTGAGCTTCCAGTCAGATGGAGGAGACCCAGTCCTCACTTGGGGAGACTTCCCATTCTGATGAAGGGACCTGGCCTTGAGGAGCATCCCTCGTATAATGGGGGAGAAATGACCCTTCTGGTGTTCCATCTTTGCAGTATGCCCAGTCTGATGGGGGAGTACAAACCCCCACTCTCTAGGAATTCCCGGTCTGATGGAATAGACATACCAACTCCCCTTCTGGCGACCGTCAGTCTAATTGGAGAGACCCAACCCTTAATCTGGAAGATGCCAATCTGATAGAGGAGACTGGGCCACCACCTTCTAGGATGTTTTAATCCGATGAGGGAGACGTGGCTACCCATGAAGTTTTCCAGTCTTAATATGGAGCTAATAACCTACACCTTCTGGGGTGTTTTAGTCCAACAGAAGAGACACAATGCCAACCATCTGATGGGGGAGACACAGCCCCAATATTCTGAGAACTTATTATCTGATTGGGGAGACACAGCCCCCAATTTCTGAGAACTTCCAATCTGATGGGGGAGACACGACCCCCATATTCTGGAATTTCCCATTTGATAGGGGAGATATGGCCCCTATATTTTGGGAATTTCCCATCTGATGGAGGAGACATGACCCCCACCCCCACCCCCACCCTGGGGTCTTTCAGTTGCATGGCAAACACAATCCCCTAAAGGCTAGAAATTTCCAATCTGATGGAGGAGACACAGCTTCCTGGCAGGCATTGTTGGGACAGAATCCACCATTACTGCCATACAAACCACCTCCTTCCTCTGTCGCCCTTCCCAGGACCCCTCATAGGGGCGCGCCAGCCAGTCAGGGGTAGTACAGATGAGCTGGCTGGAGGGTGGGAGAGGGATGCTCTGCCCCACGCATGCCCAGCTGACCTAGGCTCGCCCTCCCTCCCACTGCAGCGGCAGCAGTTGCCATGATGATCGTGCCCGTACCGACCAAGCCGACAGAAGGCCAGGACGTGACCCTGACTGTGCCTGGCTACCCCAAGGACATGCTAGTCTACGCCTGGTACCGCGGGCCAGCCTCCGAACCCAACCGGCTGCTCAGCCAGCTGCCGTCGGGGAACTGGATCGCGGGCCCGGCGCACACAGGCCGCGAGGTGGGCTTTGCCAACTGCTCACTGATGGTGCAGAAACTGAACCTCACCGATGCTGGGCGCTACACGCTCAAGACCGTCACACTGCAGGGCAAGACGGAGACGCTAGAGGTGGAGCTGCAGGTGGCCCGTGAGTGTGTGGAAGGGGGCGTGGCGTGGCGTGGCGGGGGCGGGGCCTCCTTTTCAGGTAGGAGTCTTTACCTCCTCCATCAGACTGGAAGACATCAACCAAAGATGGACATGCCTATTCTTTCCAACTGAAGGAAGGGGTCTTGTCTCTCCTCTATCTGAATCTGGGGGTCTCCAAATGGGGCCCTTTTCTCTTCTATCAAACTAATAAACTAAACTAGGAGTAGACAGATCTCCCCCATCAGACTGAGGAGTACTGAAGGGGCTTCTACACCCTCTCTCTCATATGAGGTACACCAGAGTCTGAAGGTGAGGTATCATTTATCCTGCAGTCTGGCGGACCCTAAAGTAGGCACTGCCTCTTCCACCATATTAGGGAAATGGGAAAACGATGGGGTTGCCTCCCCATCAGAAAGGAGGTATAGAGTGTGGGTGGGTCACTCCTCATCTTTTCTGTTACAGTGAGAATGAGGAGAGTACCTCTGCTACCAGAGGGGGAGTTTATCTCTCAAAGTGAAACAGAGACAGTCTCCTCCATCCGCATGCAGGGTTCTAGGTGGTGGGAATTGCATCTCCTCCATCAGACTGGCAGTTCCCAGATATGTGGGCCTTTATCTCCCTGTCAGACTGGGAGCTCTCAGAAGTCAGAAATGGTGTCTCCTCTATCTGATTGAGAACTTCCAGAGATCAGAGACCACGTCTCCTCCATCAGACTGTGAGCTCCCAGGGCAAGGGACCATGTCTCCTCCATCAGACTGGGCCTCCCAGAGTCAGGAACCGTGTCTCCTCCATCAGACTGGGCCTCCCAGAGTCAGAAGTCATATCTCCTCCATCAGACTGGGCCTCCCAGAGTCAGGAACCGTGTCTCCTCCATCAGACTGGGCCTCCTAGAGTAAGGGAATTTGTCTCCTCCATCAGACTGGGCCTCCCAGAATCAGGGACTGTGTCTCCTCCATCAGACTGGGCCTACCAGAGTCAGGAACTGTGTCTCCTCCATCAGACTAGGAGTTCCCAGAGCCAGGAACCATGTCTCCTCCATCAGACTAGGTGTTCAGAAGACCATGTCCCTGAGGCAGGACCAGGTTTCACCCCTTAGACTAGAAGCTTCAAAGAGTGGCATGGCCAGAAGCCATGAGAGAGTCAGGGACCATGTCTCTGCTCAGACTGGATGCTGCCAGGATCAGGGACCCACTCAGGGTCAGATACCTCTCCTCCACCCATTCACTTATCAAGCCCTGGCTTTCTGGATCAGTGTTAGGGGAGAATGCTGCTAGATTTCAGCAGGCCATCCCTGATGATGCCTTGGGATTCCTTTCACCCTGTCCCGTCTCTCTTCTCACAGTCAGCCTCCTCCCTCGCATGAGGAACAATGCCACCTTCCTGAACCTGAACCTGGCACAGGCAGAGCATGGGGCGGGGGAGGCCATGGGGAGGACCAGGGTGGGCAGAGGGGACCTGGTTCTCTACATCCCTGATGGTTTCCTTCGCCTCCTTGCCCACCCGTCTCCCATAGCCCTGGAGTAGTACGGTGACTGTGGAGACCTCCAGAGCGAAGAACGCTTCATGCCATCCTCCTCATTTCCTCCTTGCTCCAGCGAGGATGCCAGGCCATGATCCCGCTCTTCTCCTGCGTCCACCCTAGAGTTAGAGACTCCTCCCCTGAGCTGTCAGAGAGCCACAGAGATCATAAACATCCAGGTTAATGCACCTGTGTGTCTGCCTTTCCTTCCATGCCTCTAGGGCCCACATTCCTTTCCTAAGATTTATTCACAGTCTGGGTGTCTACAAACAGAAGCCCATTTCATAGTGCTCTAAGACCCAGGGCTTTAAGGTCCTGCTTCCCTGGACCCAAAGGCTGCCCATTTCTTGGACACAAAACGGAGTTGGGTTCTGTGACCCTCTCCTAACCCCCACGTCACTCCATCACCTGGGTCCTGAAACAGGATTATTTTGCACAGAGAATGAGCAGATCTCTCAAAAACAGTTCCAGCATCTTCTAGTCCTCACTCATTTAACCAACGTTGCTGTTTCATGGCCTACATTGTCCTCGGATCCCTCTATGTCTCTCTTAGATGTCACCTGTTGTTAAATCCATGGAGTTGGCTCTGACTCATAGTACAACAGAACAAGACACTGCCCACATCCTGCAGCCTCCTCACCATCATTGCTGTGTTTGAGCCTATTGTTTCAGCCACTGTGTTAATCCAGGTCATTAAGGGTCTTCCTCTATTTTGTTGACCCTTTACCAGACATGATGTTCCTCTCCAGGGACTGGTGTCTTCTGGCAACATGTCCAAAGTACATGAGATGAAGTCTCTCCATCCTCGCATTTATGGAACAGGATGGGTATACTTCCGACACAGATTTGTTTGAGATACCATCTACACAACCCTAAAAATGCCTCCTTTCTCTTATAACCACACAGAAAAAGAGGGCTCATTGAATAAAAAAATGCAAATGAGATGGGGGTGGTGATGAGTAGAGAATGAGGTGTGGAAGTTAGAGAGATTGTGTCTTCTAACTCTTCTCATCAGCACCATCTGAGCCTTAAGCTCCACCCTGACAAGATGCCCCACTAGAGACAGGTAAGAACTTATGGGAGTATCCAGGCTTGAGGTAAAGGCAGCTGGACAAGAATACAAAGACTTAGCAGAGAGATTTCTCAGAAATAATTTTCAAGATACAGTCTTTATGTGTACAGCCATGTTGGTAAACCTGAGGTGTCAGGTTGTTGTTAAGTTGTTAAGTGCCAGCGAATTGGTTCCGACTCATAGCGACCCTATATAGAGTTTCCTAGGTGTGCCTGATGGGTTTGAACCACTGATCAGTGTTTATCCTACAGCAAAATATCCTAGAGTTGAGTTGGAACTGTGGCTAGTATGTGTCATCTATTAAAGACCCCCAGAATGACGGTTATAAAATCTGGACTATAATCCTACACTTGCTGTATACTCAAGTCTCAGTTTGCCCATCAGTAAAAAAAGGTGTGGACTTGGAATAGATTTGAGTTTTTCAAATCGTTTTATTAGCCTTAAAATCCAAGTTTACATGGAAGGTAAATCTATTATTTAAAATAGTAATGAAACAAAAGTAGGTAACAAGTCAAACTCCCTCTCTAAAAAATAAGAATATCTTTATATCTGGAAGAAAAGAAAGTTAGTTTAAATCTAAGTAATACTTGGATTGCAGAGGCCATAAAAATGTAAAGTACCAACCAGAAATGAATGACAGAATACTATATATCGAACACTGTGGGGTATAGCCAAAGCTGTACTCAGAGGGAAAAGCATAGCTGTAAATGCTTAGATGCACTTAAAGTACTAAAACACAATCCCTCCCCCCAAAAAAAGTTTGCTAATAAACAAAGCAAGCTTTACATGCAAGAAACTAAAATAACTTCATAAACCCCAAAATAAAAAGAGTTGAGAGGGAAAAGTAGAAATTAATGAAATAAACAAAACATCCAGAGTTAGTCGATACTCATAAAACCTAAAGCTGGTTCTTTGATGAATACCAATTGAAATAGACATTATTTTCCAAGTGTAGTCAAGAAGAAAAAGAGAGAGAAAGAAACCTAAATAAACAATGCAAATAAAAGAGAGAGGAGACTAAAAGATAAAAAAACAGAGTAGTTTACTCGGAGGAGACCTGGTGTGGCGCTGTGGGTTAATACGCCAGATTGCAAAGCCATTTGAACTGCAAGGTCCGCAGTTCAAGCTCACCAGTTGCTCCTAGGGGAAACCCTATACAGGGTCGCTATGGGTCGGAACCTACTCGATGGCACTTTACAATAACAACAAGCTTACATGGATAGCTCTGACATCACAAGAGCTGGGATGGTGGCTGTCATCCGAGACCCAGCTCTTCCTTTCTTCGCCATCATCTTTACCTAAGGCTTTGTTTCTAGTCTCACAATGACCTCATGGCCTAAGATGGCTGCTGCAGCGCAGCTGTCACAGCCACATTCCAGCCAGGAAACAGAAATAAAGGGACAAAGGGCAAAAACAGGCACAAGTCAGTTTATGGACAGTACGCCTTTTGAACCACCTTTCCCAAAGTCCCACCCAGCAGCTTCCACTTATATCTGATTGGCCAGTTCTTGCGGTCACATGGCTACCCTAGCTGGGAGGGAGACTGGGAAGTGTAGTATTTTCTCTGGGTATCGTGCTGCCGGCTGAGGTTCTAATATTAAGGAAGGCAGGAAAAACGGACCCCAAGTGGACAGTTGGTAACCTCTGCCAGACCTTCCCCACCTCCAATCCACCCACCCACCCACTTCTGTCAAGTTGATTCCAACTCTTAGCGACCCTAGGTTGTTATTGTTGTTAAGTGCCAGCCAGTTGGTTCTGACTCATAGCAACCGTATGTAGGGTTTCTGAGGAGCGGCTGGTCAGTTTGAACCACCGACCTTGCGATTCAAACCTTGTGGTCCAGTGCTTATCCTACAGCGCCACACCAGGACTCCAAAATTATAATGTGGCCCACAGGATCTCCAAAGTTATCATTTTAGTGGAGCTGACTGCCACACCATTCTTCCTCGGAGCAGCTGGTGAGATCACCCCAGTTACATTTAAAAAAATGGCTTTTGTCACCTAAGCCCAAGGAGTAAGAATGAAAGTCATAAAATAATAATAATAAATAAATAAATAAAACCCTTTGCCATGGAGTCAATTCCAACTCAAGGCGACCCCAAGTGTTCCAGAGTAGAACTGAGCTCCACAGGGTTTTCTTATGGAATCTTATGTAACAGGAGGATGGGGGAGCCAATAACCAGACCTTTCTATCGAGGAGCTGCTAGCTGGGCTCGAACTACTAACCCTATAGGACAAAGAAGAACTGTTCCCATAGGGTTTCCAAGGTATAAATCTTTCCAATAGCAGATGGTCGCATCTTTCTCCCATGGTACAGTTGGTAGATTAGAACTGCTAACCTTCTGGTTAGCAGCCAATCACAAAGCCATTTGAGCCACGCAGACACCTTGTGGCAGCCACAGTAGTAGTGATTTGGAAAGACTGGTGACAAATAGACTGGGGACTAATTGTCCTTAATTCGGAATTGGTCGATTGCTCTGCAATGCAGAATGAGGCCAGAAGAAGGAAGGTGGGAGGGAGGGGCGAGCAGGCAGCTCAAGTTTTTTAGGTCAAATCAGATCCTTATCCTTGGGCTTCAGGAGGCTCAGGTGCCCCAGGGCCAACTCTCCAATCCCTCTGGGCATCTCTGGGCACCTCTACTGAATCCTCCCAGGTAGCCCAGTCCCCTCATTGAACAACTCAGGAAAGAACAATGACAATGACCATAAGAAAATAAGAATTCCTCTATCTTAAAGAAGGAGCTCTGGTATCGTAGTGGTTACGAGTCGGGCTGCCAACCACAAGGTCAGCAGTTCGAAACTACCAGCAGTTCCACAGGAGAAAGATGAGGCGTTCTGCCCCCGTAAAGATTTACAGCCTCGGAAACCCTGTGCAGGGTCACTATGAGTTGGAACCCACTCCACGGTACTTAACAATAACAACAACATATCTTAAACAGTGAAAAAAGAAAACCCAGATTGTTACTGTCAAGTAGATTCCAATTCATGATAACCCCATGTGTTACAGAGTTGAACTACTCCATTGAATTTTCTTGGCTGTAATTTTTACAGAGGCAGTTTGCCAGACCTTTCTTCCACAGCACCACTGGGTGGTTTCAAACCTTTGGATTAGTAGATGAATACAAACCATTTTGCCACTTCAGGATCTTTCATAAGATTGTTGTATTGCTGTTGATGTTAAGTGCCATCATATTGGCTCCGAGGAGTAGTTGTATAGGGTTTCCAAGGAGTGGCTGGTGGGTTTGAACCACTGATCCTGTGATTAGCAATCCAGTGCTTATCCTACAGCACCACACCAGTCCAGTGCACACCATTTGTAACACTCAGGGACTTTATAATAAGCATCCGTCTGTCTTTTTCCAAGCATGATCTCAGTGAATCCCTACAATAAATCCCTTATGGGGTAGTTACTGCCCATTCTCCCATTTTACAGGTGAGCAAATTGAGACAGATAAAACCCTTGCTTCATGGCTGCTAGGTTGGTGAGTGCTCTACTTTCAAAGGCACAGGCTTTGAGTCCAGGTAGAGCTGAGTTCAAATCCCAGATTGGTTACTTTTAACTGTGGCACTTTGGGTACAGTACTTAACTCTCTGTCTCAGGTTCTTCATCTGTAAAATGAAGATAATAACATTCACCTCCTAGGATTGTCACCAACCAAACACCTGGCAGTGCCCCAACTAAGCCTCTGGCAGGAAGCAGATAGAAAAGGCAAAGATTACAATGTTGCTGAAATGCCTTCTTCCTGGGGGACTTACACCCGACCATGCAGGTTTGCTTCCCTTCATGGCGTACGTGACGAGTTTCAAAATTACTATTATTATTAATGATCTTCCAGAAAAGAAAGGGGGAGGGAAAAAGATGAATGCTTCTGTACTTGTAGAATCACAGTGGGAACCACCACAGGGTCCCAAGTGATGTACTGTTAGCGCAGAT